TAGAAAAAAATGGAAATTCAGATTTTAAGAGGCGTCAGGAAGTTCTGGTCTGTGATAATTTAATAAAAAATTATTAAATATTTTTCCAGAAGAAAATTCTGCATTTTCAGAGATAGTTATCTGTGTTACAGCGTAGAATCCTGGCTCATCAAAGATTTATCCAAAGCCACGTATCCAGGCAGCCGTGGGGCCCTGTGTACATCCTCCTTACCGCTGGAGGTCTGGCTGCCAGGGCTCAGGACCTGCCATGGGGAGCACTCCCAGGCAGCTTGGTCGGGAGGCCACTGCCAGAACCAACACTGGCTCCCTGGCCCTTGGGAGCTCCTTCAGCTGAAGCTCTTGTCCTTGGCCCTCACCTGAACTATGGCCACAGGCCCCCAGGTTCTCACCTCATCTTGCACTCCCAGCCCCCTTGGCTCCCTGGCCCTCTGGGAGCAGCTGGTCCTGGCTGTTCCCTGCCAGGCAGCTAGTATGACTTCCAACACCTTCAGTGAAATGCTCATCAATCCTGTAAATGAAGACATATTTCCCAAATGATTATGACAAATTCCCAATATTTTATGTATTTGAGAAAACCCTTAGCTTAATTCACAGATAAGATGAATATGCTCAGTTCAGCCAGTAAATTATTCACTTGTTTCTTGGAACAGCGGGTTCTGCATGGGAAGGGAAACACGGAGGAAATACAAGTCCCAGAGAGGCAGTCTAGTCCAGCAACAGTGCCCTCCAGTAAGAAACGTAGACCTAGAAAGTTTATAGAGAATAAATCAACTATTTAATTCAAGATGCTGAATGTTTTGACAGTTAAAAATACCAAGCTACTCACTGCAATTATACAATGAAGCATTAAAACATTCATAGGACATTAGCCTCATGTAAACAAACAGCTATTCCACTCTTCCTGGTGCAAGAGTGAGGAACCTACTTCTTGTAGGTACCAGACCACCAGCTCTTCCTCCCAGACACCCCTGGGAGAAACCTGTGTGCTTCCTGTGGCTTTGGCTGTCCTTTGAAGAGTCTCACTTGCACGGTGGTCTCTAACAGAGGAAGGAGCCTCAATTTGAAAGATGTGGCCTAACGTGGTGTTTGCTACAGCAACGGCTGCTAAATATTTGATTATCTCAAATGAACATCTCTGAGCAGCCGGGTCTGGCACTGTGCTATGGGCTCAGAAATGCAAATCACTCACTGTGGAAATATTGTTATCAGCTTCTCAGGAATGGCTGTGTTAAATAAACTGGGTGTGAACATCACTCCCAGCTCTAGTGCTATTGTACTAGCCCAAAGCTTCCATAACTGGGAAGGACTGGAGTGTCTGGAAAGAAAGGCTACGTGTACCTCTGGGAAGATGACCAGGTTAATGGATGAATTAAATTCTCCAACATTTGGCAATTGAATAGCATTTGTGAGTATTAACAGGATTTACCTTTTTCTAGGACATGACAGTTCTGTTTCTCTTTTTATTGTCTTCTTTTTCTATTCATGAGAGTTGTACTCACTGAACAGACCAAGACCAGAAGGAAGAAAGTGTTCAAGTCCTTTTACTTTAATTACAGGCTCTCTCTTTGTCTGTCTGCCTTTCCTTACAGGACAGATACAAGCTGTTTGGTTAGGAGCAGATCTGACACTGTAAAACCACCCAGGGAGACACCGTTACAGTGTAGTGGATTCCAAGCTCTGCTAGCAACACAAAGGAAAACAAATTTGGTTTGTGCTTATGTCTGATAAAATCTAGACTAAGAGTATATGTAAATATTTTTGTTTTCCCCTTGTAGTTCTCTTGATCACAGTCATTTTACAGACATCATTTTTTTTTTTTGGAAGCATACTGGAAAGTATCTTTGTCCTAGGACTTACAGTGAATCACAGAATCATCTTTATCATCTGCCAGTGTTGCCCATTTTGGTGACCACTCAACCTCATCTACCACTGAGCTCCTTTTTTTGTGTGTGCTTGTTGGTTTGCCTTAAGTTTAAGAGCTCGTGGTGACCCTAATGTACGTGTGACAGACAGCAGATATTCTCAGTAACTTTTTAGATGTTCAGGACATGTTAAACTCAAGGATCACACACCAACCATTCATGTGTGCACAGTAAATTGGGTTTGGACTTATTGGGTCTGGAACAGCAAAGGCACAACAGGAGTCACAGAGAGAAAGTTCTCTAAGTCATTTATATGTCCTTTTTCGTTACTACTTGTTTATGCAAATGTCTTATGTCTGTGGAGGAAAATAAGCTAACTCAAGATTTTATGTTCCTGTTTTTCAGTGAAGCAAGAGAGCACTCTAAATCCAATTCTGCAAGACCTCCACCACGGTCTCCTCTGAATTGAATAGTTTCAGTTTTTCTAGGAACTAATCACAGAATAGCAGAATAATTAGGGTTGGAAGGGACCTCTGGAGATCATCCAGTCCCACACCCCTCCCAAGGCAGGGGCACCTACAGGAGGTGACACAGGAACATGTCCAGGTGGGTTTTGAATGTCTCCAGAGAGGGATACTCCACAACCTCCCTGGGCAGCCTGTCCCAGTGCTCTGCCACCCTCAATGTAAAGAAGTCCTTCCTCATGTTGAGGTGGAACTTCTTGTTTTAGTTTATGACCATTGCTCCTCCACCTGTTGCTGAACACCACCAAAAAGAGTGGCACCAATCTCTTGGTACCTGTCTTTGAGATATTTATATGCATGAATGAGGTCCCCTCTCAGTCTTCTCTTATCCAGACTAAACAGGCCCAGCTCCCACAGTCTCCCCTCATAAGAGAGATTCATTTATGAAAACTGAAAACCTGAGAGAGAAGGGGAAAAAATGGAGAAAGGTAATTTTCCAAGTAGAAACCTGCATGCAATTTCTGAGTGAAAACCTCTATGCAGTTTGTGTCAATGCCTGAAAATAAGTGCAATTCCATTTTCTTGTTCCTTCAGGAGGTCTCCTTTAAAGCATGGTCTGCTGTTGCCTGGCACACAGAAGCAAACAGTGCCACGTGCTGCACGTCCTGTTGGACAGCTCTGAAAGACAGCAGTAGAGCTGCAAGTTTGGAAATGAGTTGTGGTTCCTTCTGGGGCCTCTCTACAGCAGGTGGATAATAGTTGTCTCTGCTTTGAAGCCAATACTGTTCACTGCGCTGCTGCCTCGCATTTATGCAGTTATTTATGGTGATGTTCACACTGATTTCTCTAATTTACTATGTGAGGTGTAGAATAACAGTCAATGGGATGTAGGATCTGGCAATACATTTTCAGCTATGTCAGCAAATACTGCTGAAATGACATTTATTGACAGAGTGCTAGAGTGACTCCTGAGGAAACATACACATGCTAAAGTCCATCTTCACTAAATATTCTCATTTTGACAGACAGCAAACATCCCATAGCACGGCCACAGTTATACCAGCTACAGGTGACTGTAAAAGAACAGTTCAGTCTAATAAATGAAGTGATACCATTTAATTATCTTAGGCTGATGTGATTGCATCTGCTGCAGTGTAACTGTGTAAACAGTCACACCTTCCACAGGCACATGAGCTGGGAGAAGTACTACAGCACTTTTATCAATTAGTCTTTGCCAAACAAGATACGGCAGGAAATTTGAGCACTTCCTGAATTTAACCAGCTCCCCTTAATAAAGTGATTTTACAGAAGAGAGAACAGCGAAATTGATGCAATTAGCAATTGCATTTTTGGCTCTCTGCCCAGAGAAAACTGAACCAACAGCCAGATGAATGATTTCTATCCATGTAAATTTAGAGCACATATGGATGGTCTTTTAAAACACCTCCAGAAAGCGAGTTGTACCTCTGTGTCAGGGTCTGACCCCAACTAGCACATGTTCCCAAAGGGGACAGGAATGACACATGCCTGCCCATGACCTCTGATGCTCCAGACATGTCCTCCTCAGCCCTGTGCTACATACCAGCTTCTTCCCTCCTGTGTCCTTTCCTTTTGGCTTTATTTTCAAATGAGCTGTACCTACCTTTGGGACTCCAAGCTGTCCAGTGGCACAGGAAATGATAGGCAGGGAGATTTCTTAGCAAAACTGCTGACTCTCCTGCCTCTCTCTTGGGAAGAGCAAGGCTATGTGTGCAATACATGGCATTATCCGTGTCACTCCTTCCATTCAGCAAACAGAAGGATAACACACCTTTCAAAAGCATGCATTAAACCTGTCCCTTTTCATCTAATTATCAGATGCGGTCTTTAATGGAGACCATGCAGCTGGTTCCCATCTGCTCAGCTGTGGCTCACTTTTGTATGTTATTGTTTGGGATTGTTTCTCCTGCTTTGGGTTAAATTAAGAATGAGGTTTCAGAAATGGCTGCAGCTCTGGCCTGCTCCCAGCCCCACACCACATGCTCCCATCAACATCCTGGTTGCCAGCTCTTAAGCTCATCGGACCTCTCAGGAATCCCTCTCACCTTATCATGCAGACAGAAAATTATTCGCTTCCTAGGTTAGTTCTCTGCTGGCTTGGAAAGCAGGCCTGGTTCACCAAAGGGTCAGGAAAGCACTGGCAGCAACAAGAACATGCTGCCAGGGACAGGGAGGCAAGGATGGGTTGTCCCTTTGGGGGCAGCTTGCAGTTAGAGCTGGGAGCTAATGCCAAATAGCGGTGGTTGCACTCCACCACTGCTCCCAGCTGCGTTTCCTGCCCTTTCCCTTGCACCAAATCTATTCTTGGAGTGGCTTCAGGGTGAGTTGTTTCAGCTGGCTGATCTGGCTGAAAACTACTCATTTTTATGGCATGGTTAGTTTGCTGCTGTTGTCAGCCAGATGAACAGATTCACCCTGTGGCCACACAGCCACTAGATGCAATGTAAGGAAAGCAACACAAACAGGAAACACAGACCAGCTTGTAGATACCTCAGCTGCAATACCAAACTGCAACCTAAAGAGCAGCCACACCGATCCAGCCATCCTGCTGTTCCTGCAATAGGCAGATAACTAGATAGTTTGCTTCCCTACCTGTGCTCTTCTGCTCTAAAGAACATCTTTTCAGTACAGGAAGTGTATTTTTATCTCCCTTTATTCTGTGTGAGTAGAATTGCACTCCAGCAGGCAATTTCAACCTCTTCTGATTTGTGGACTGCTAATGGAGAGGCAGGTCCTGCACAGAGGGACTAAATCTATTGACTTCCATTCTTTTGTGGACTCTGGAAGGTACTCACAGGGGCAACAACCACAGACTGAAATGTACCGCACAGTGGAACTGCTGAGAATCACACAGGTCCCACCTGACTGGCAATAGTCTTTTGACATCTTTTTCTTCTTTCATTTCTTTTTATTTCTCATCAAGGATAATAAAATCAGAGCAAATTACCGGGGTGAGGCTGGTGAACAAAATCAGAAACTTTGAGCTAAAACCTCCTTAGTCCAGTTTCCTAATGGATAGTGCAGAACAAATTACTGAGACAGAACTTTCCATTCTCTCTATCTGTGAGTAGGCTGTCCTCACAGGAGATAAGCAGTAACATCCTTTTTTACAAAAGTAGTGCAAGATCTTTTGTTGCAAGGCAGAGTCACAAAGCTGAGTCTGTGTAGGGACTGCACTAATAACTCTGCCTCCTCTTGGCTTATAGATGCTCCTCTTGGCAAAACTGTGACTCCTCTCTCCATCACTGCAGAAGGCTGTCTTTTGGTATGAGGGGGTTTCAGTGGCAATACTGGCTTGTAGCGAAATGCAGCCTCCTTCCTTTTATACTTCTCTCACTCTCTTTCTCCTGGCTTTATTCCCAGATCTGGTTCACTGCCCAGCCCTGTAAACTGAGTCAGTACAATTGTCAGGGTGAAGGGCTGCAAGGAGAGGAGTGAGATGAGGGAGATGGCAAAGGGAGAAGGCGGCAAGATCTCCTTAAGCTGCCAAACCCTCACTTTTCACCAACCCAGAGTTCAAGACTGGCACATTTAGTACATCCATAATCTCACCCAGCATGTTTGGCTTAAATTGTCTGTAGTTTATTTACACACCTTCTGGTCTCTATCTTGCTGATGATTGAGAGGAATTGCTGCTGAAGAACTGTTTTCTTCTTAAAGACAGGGAGACATGAATCCTCTTTCTTTCACATGCTTTGCTGCAAGATAATGAAATCTTTGAATGAGGAAGGGAACAACATATTAACGTATAATTTAAAGCAGTCATGAAGTCATCCACTGGGGACCTCATCATGTATCTCTTGTTAAATGGGGTCTGGGATGGCTGGCATGTGTGGGAAAAACAGGGCAAGAGTTCTCAAAGGGAAAGTTTAACCAAGGTGATTACATCTCACCAGCCAGTTTTCTGAGCCCTATTCCCAGGAGAGAAGAATGCCTGTTTCAGTGGTGATGCACTCCTACACACCAGTCCTAAAACAGCAGAGGTTAACAACATTCAAAATATCAGCACTGCCCCCTGAGATAAAACACTATCATGATGAAAGGAGCAATTCTCTGGCATCCTTCTGCCTGCAGAATCTGTATAAGCTGGGCTCCACTAAAGGAGCATTACCAATGCAATTATGTGAGTTAAGAGCTGGGTCTTTTGGTGATAAAAGCCCTCATTTAGGTGTAGCTATACACACATAGGCAGGAAGTGTGTGTCTTTAACCTCACTGAGATACAGCAAAAAAACATATCTCTAGCATAGACAAGCCCTTAGGGTCAAAAATACATGAATATAATATCTCCTTTTGTGTGTGGCTTATATCACAGGCCTCCATAGAGTGCCCATCATTGTAATCCTTGAGTAGCAAACAACATTATTTTCCAGCTAGGGAACAGGCTCTGATATTCACAACAGCAGCTGGCATTTCTTTCCAGATCAAAACCTGTGGAAGGAAATTCCTTGCCAGATGGAGTCCCAAGCACCACTAGTAGTGTGCCCAGTAACCTGTTATCCATGACAGACAGCCGGTTCTTGCTAATCCTCTCTACTCAAAAAGAGGGCAGTAGCAATCTTTGCCAGTTGAACCTTATCACTGTGGTGTGAAATGTCACTTGCAGGTCAGTGGCTGTTTGTTCTGACCCCCTCACTACATTTTACTGCAAAAAGTAATTATCTCACTGTTGATCACTTTAGGAGACTGATCTAGTCCCTCAGCTTTAGTGGTCATGTTAGGAAAGGGCTGGTCCTGAATCCCACAAAAGTAAGTAAGAGTATCCAATATGACTGGTTTGATGAAAATAACACTTATTTAGAGGCAAGTAATTTAAAGCACAAAATATTTAATAATTTTGATCTTTTTAACTGTCATCTACAAGTCAGGAGAAAAATCCTTCAGGAGGGCTGGAAAGTCTTGAAGATCTGAAGAAGGAAATTTCTCTAACCACATGTGAAAGAAGGAAGATGTTTGCTTTAGCATCACATTAATTTAAAAAAGATCCAAATTTTTGGTTAATTTTACTTTTTGAAAAATCTTGTTTTCATCAACTGGTATATTAGAGGGAAAATATATTAGAGGGAAAACATCTATTTTGTAAGAAAGTCCTTTTTTTTTTTTTTCCCCCTGTGGCACATTACAAGATCTTCCCTTTTAATGCGTTGAAGGAGTTGGTTTGATGATTCTTTCTGACACCTCAAAGAGCCGAGACTCTGCAAATAGGTAGTGAAAGGATTAAATAAATTACTTGATCACTGTGGAAAATCATAGCCAGGGAATCAGAACACCAGGAGCCTGAGGTTTCCATGGCTATTGTATGAGAAAGACACCTTCATCTTGTAACCCATCTAGGATTGCAGTGCTATTTTTTTGAACAAATGGGATCATGGCCAATGATTTACCAGTCTCAATTCTAGAAGTGTAGAAGTCACTCAGTCGTCTCAAAGCCTCAAACAAAGGCAGACAAAAGCTTTGTAAAAAGTCTCATCTGTCCCTACTTAAAATGGAGACTGCTCAATAGCTAAAGAACTGAGCTCTTAGTTATCAAGGGGTATAGTAAAATCCCAAATAATCTGCAGACTATTAGAGGACCAGTAAAGCCTCTGGCTGGGAAGATATTCAATGTTCAAGGATTTCCAGTATCCTGTTTCCTAGGCGCCATTAAAAACCCACAGTCTTTAATTCCACAGCAACTCGGCTCTCCCTGTGATACCATTATGTGTACATGGCTGGATGCAAAAATTGTGGCAGTTCTCACCTGACAGCATATTGCTACACACTGTAACATGTAAATTAGTCTCTGTGCGTTGACACCAGTCACCCTTCTTCAGTGTCACTTTATTTAAACAACCATGCAGTGTGTATTTGCATGTGTATCCCTACGTAGAAGAAACCACCTCCCCAGTCAGCTCTTCATCCTGCTCACGATCCTTGTGCCCACAGCACAGCGAACAGCCGAGAGCCCTGGTGAAGTAGGGGAGCCTGAGGGATTTCCGGAGAGCTGCCAGGGAAGGATGGGGACTGGGGGTGCTCCCTGGCTCCCTCCCAAGCTTCCCGTCTCACTGGAGGCCGCTTGCTTTCATTTCTGGGTGCCTCTGATTTCCTCGTGGATAAAATATTCCTGCTTGGGAGCTGGGTGCGGCCAGTGCTCAGAGACACACCCAAGCCCGGCCTGTGGTGTGTGCACTTCCACCCCAACGGCTTTGTCTGACACCAAATCGTTCCTCACATTGCCTGACTGTCCTGTCACCTTTGGTAACAGCCGTGTTTGGCAGCCAACCATTTCCTCGCAGACTGGTGAGCTCACGACTGCTTCAAACCGGTGTCAGAGAAGTTTACACGTCCCTTGGAACAGGCTGTTCCTCACCCACACTACAAAGGCCCTATCTGAACTACAAACCACACAAAATCAACCTGCCTGCAACACTGTGGCCACTTCGTTTAGTCCTGTCAAGGATGCAGAAAGGAGCTGGAGCCCAGGCTGATCCATTCAGCTCTGTGAGGCTGGAGGGTGTTGTCCTCCCTCAGCCTGTCTTGTCCCCATGCTACACCCCACCAAGCCAGGGCTCACTCAGCCCAGCAGGATTTCAAGCAACCACTCCAGCAAACTGGGCACTTGTGAATTTTTTTCTGAAACTTTCTCTGTCTTTTTGATGTAGCTGTTGCTTCCTGGACTCCTATCATTTGAGCTGTCTCATGTGGTTGCAGAAAATGGAACTGCATGGACCACTGGTAACATCAGCTCACCATCCAGTAGGCCAGTGACTCAAGGGAAGGGGGAAAGCAGAACCAAAACAGCCAGGCTCTCCTTTCTGCTCTTCCACTCACTGGCTTTCACATAACTGTGAGCAGGCCACTCAGTCTTCCCATGTTCTAGTAAAACAAGGACACATCCCTGGAAAATATATCAAGGCCCTCAAGAGAAGGAATTCTGCAGAGTGAAATGTGGGGGTTACTCCTAAATGCCCATTTCTCAGATTTTGGAAAAGAATTGGCTTTACTAGAGCATCCACCATTTCAGGGCTGTCCTTAACAGCCCTGAAAGTCAAGACCTCTCTCCAGTGCCAGCACAATTCCACAGTCATTCACTTCTCTCTATTCACCCTAGGTTAACAAATCACAATTTCTTAAGTAGTCCTGCTTTTATGGGAAATTTCGGCCTGGTTGGTGTTTTTTGACATAAATGTGGCTCCATCCACTTAACAAAAAGGTTTCATATGTTGGATAATGTATTTCTGGACTTACCCCATGCAAGAAGTCAGTTTATCCAGAACTGCCAAAAGCTTTTCTGCTTGGTTGTCACTGTGTAGGGATCACTGATAGCACATAGTCAAGTGTGAGGTAGAAGTCACGCTATGTTGCATAGCCAGATAAAATTACCTTTCTGTTAACAAACTGTGTAAAATTACCCAGTTTGTCTAACCTTGAATTCCTCCTGGTTTCTGGGGAGATTTTGTCCCAAATTCCTTGAACTATATAATGATTGCTACCGTATTTTATTTTGGTTGTGTGCACATGAAGTAGGGCGGACTTGTAATACACCAGGGACTGTGTAGAGCGGCAGCTGTTACACTTTCAAAGAGCATTACTGAGCTTTTTATAGTTGGCTGCAGTTGACATCATGGCTAAATTGAGTCTCGCTCTAAAATATATTCCACCCAGCCTGTGCAACCTTAAAGCCATGCATTGCTGGGAGAAGAGAGGGTCACAGGAAGCAATGCAATACCGGCATGGAAGTAAAAGCCTGGGGATGTGTTTGCTTCTTTTTCCTGTATCCAGTAGAAATGGTCTTGAAATATTTCTTCAGGAAGAACAGCCACCTCTGGAGAAGACAGGATGAAACCTTTCATCTTGGGATCAGCAATCCAATCTGGCCCAGGTGAGCAGTGACTGACAGCTGGAATGACCTCGCTGTAGGAAGCTCTCTTAGTGCCTCACAGGTGGCTGTCCAGATTGAAAGAGGCCAAGTGCTTTTACACTGCTATCACTGGTGCCACCGTGATGCTGCTGGAACCTGGGTAAAAGCTGCTGCACAGTAAAAATCATTGGTGAGGAACATCACACACTCAAGCCCCTTTCCAGACAGGACCAGCAGCTTCCAGAGCTTTTGGGAGAGATCTCTGCACTGTACTTCACTATTAAGAAAATAACAAAGCTAAGTTTGGGGAAAACTTATCCAGAACTCAAGGGTATTGACGATAATGGTCCCTGAGGATGGCACCTGCTGCAGCACAGATTTCCTGGATGAAATCTCTGCATTGCTTTAAATCCTTGCAGGATGGAAAACTGCTGCCAAGGACCTTCTGCAGTGGCCTGAGGGAGAACAGCTGGGAACAAGTCCCATAAACCTGAAGCTGGGGACTCACCACACTGATTCAGAGCAACTCAAACCTGGCCTGTACTCTGCAATCCCTGTAGCTAACACAAGGGGATTAGGGACTAAGAAAAGTGGGCAAGGGTGGTCCTCCACACTGCAATGCTCTATGAACTCATCTGGGTTACTACAGTGTATAAAAAGCCACACAATTCTCCTGCCTGCTAGAGATATGGGGTGAAATACATGATGTGCTTCTTCCCTGTGCCTGCCTGGCATTTCTGGTCAGCTAGCAATGATCACAGCCCTTAGAGCTGAAGTCACACTGGAGTCACACATACTAATCAAGTATTTTTCCCCAAAGTATCCAAAGTGTTGCCCGGACTCCTTCCAGGCTCCCTTT